TGTGACCTCAGCTCAGCCATAAAAGCCAAGGGCAGGGAGGAGGAGGGGGCATTTGTTCTTGTGTTTGTCTCCAGGAGCAGCTGCTGCACACACTGATGCTCTGCTTTCCCGGGAAGTGGCTGGACATCACTTACTGAGGGGAAGCAGAGAATAACATCTTTGTTTACCTTTTGTTTCTGTGCATGGCCTTGGCCTTTGCTTTAATTAAACTGCTTTTATCTTGACCCATGATTTTTTCATCATATTCTCCCCTTTTATTTTGCTGAAGGGGGAGTGATAGAGGGGCCTGGTGGGCACCTGGCATCCAGCCAAGGTTAACCCACCACACTTCATCTACACAGAAATTATACAATTATTTTAAAGTTAAAACACCTGTTTTCATTTGCATATTCTTATGCAACTTCATAAATAATAAAGAAACAGATAGGTTTGCTTTGCCTCAGAAGTTTACAACATCCACCTTGCAAAACCTAAAACTAAAACCAGCACAACAGGTTGCTCTGATCACTGCTGTAGATTCCACAGATCTTTAATATGTAACTTGCATAGACTTTTTTTTAAGCAGAGTTGTAAAACAGAGATTCATATTTCATTAGCCATCTCTTTCCCCCTGTCAAATGCAAGGGTGAGGAGGCTAAAATATTTGAGGCAGTGTGGAGTTACATCCTGGCTGAGACTTATTTTCTTGGTTCTGCAGGGCTGGACATTTGAAAATAATGTTTTTATATTTCTGGGCTCTATGGCAATTTGATATTTATTCAAACAATCTGAAAATCATCCAAACACCTTCTTTATCCTAAAAGCCAAATATAAGTGAATTTTAAAAGCGCTCTACTACATTTTTTCCTCTTTTTTTTTTTTTTATTTTTAAATAGGAAGAAAACATTGCAACTGAAAAGCAGCTAACTTCGGAAAACACATGAAAACACTGCGTTCAAGGGTAAAGGTAGTTCTTCACTTGTTAAAGGCCCCTAAGAACACCAATGAGCCATGAAGCTGGAGTCTTAATCTCCAACTTAACAAAAAAACCTCATGAATCATATGGTAGGACTGGTGTTTGTCAGGAGATATTTCTGTTTCATTTCAACTGGAGCATAGCAGCAGAACGGAAAGAAAATTTTCTAGAAAGCAAAAAAATATTACTCTCTGCCTTTTCAGCAGTTCTGATAATTTTATTCTTAAAAAAATTAAAATAATTCTATTCCATTTCCAAACAATATTTTTCAGAACAGGACTTGTTTATGGTAGGACTGGTGTTTGTCAGGAGATATTTCTGTTTCATTTCAACTGGAGCATAGCAGCAGAACGGAAAGAAAATTTTCTAGAAAGCAAAAAAATATTACTCTCTGCCTTTTCAGCAGTTCTGATAATTTTATTCTTAAAAAAATTAAAATAATTCTATTCCATTTCCAAACAATACTTTTCAGAACAGGACTTGTTAAAAAAAAAAAAGTTAGTTTTCAGATCAACAACCTTAGATACTTTTAAATAATCATAGTTCAAAAGGAGGGGCAGTTACATCCTCTCTCTCTCCATGATTTTTGAAACCACATTATAACCCACTGGCTGCACGTGTAGTTTTATTACAAATGTGATTTCCTGCATGGCTCTTGAAGCTAAATCCAGCTAAAAAAGAATATTTTGATCATTAAGAAAAACCTTAACACAATTAAAAAGATACATATATACTCTCTTTAATGTAAGAGCAATGGGTGGCTTCTGGTCCATACGTTATTTTTTCTTTAAAGACTAAATACCAATCGCACGATATGCAGAGCCTTCATAACAAAAGTTTATATTTTCCCCTCTATCGCCAAGCTTCAGTTCATTGTCTTTATCTTAGAGACAGCTCAAAACGTAATTTTCCAGCCTCTGCTACAAAGCAGTCTTAAGCTCCAGAAAGGCCCACGTCTCAGAGACTGGTCATGGTGGTTTGGACAGGATAGGGACCAGCACCGCTATTTGCATTCTTCACATTGCGCTCATGGACAAAAGCGGTGTACTGTCCGTCCGCAGCGCGGGTCCTCGGCGGGGCCCACGCATCCCACAGGCTTCCACCACGTTGGCAGCGGTCAGCAGCATCAAAGGGCCTGGATTATTGGGGAGCGGGAGGGGGCACAATTAGTAAACAGGTATGGATGAGAAAGAGGGTGGAAAAGTAAAGCAAAGGTGAAAAGGAAAGGAAAAAGGGCATCGCTGGAAGGTAAATACTGAAGGAAACAGGCATGCAAGTATATGTGTACATGATGACACTGCCAAGTAAACCCCTTTTCTGGTCAGTATCTTGCATGTTTTTGCAGAAGTCTGAAATGACAAGTTAAGCTATCTCAAGTATACATTGCCTACACTTAACAAATGCAAAGCACTTCATATTTCAAAGCACTTCACAAAACTGAGCAAGAACCAGGCGCATTTTACAGATGGGAGAAAATAACATGATGGAGGCAGCTAGACCTCCCAAGTATACAGTGCATTTTATCTGCAGGAAGCTGAAGGGATTTATGTGGCAGCTCTAAATGTACACCTGAAATAAGCATCTATAAGCAACATCAGTTTTCAAAGTCACTGGAAAACACAGATTCTAATGCAAGTTTAAAAAAAGGAGAAAATAGGAACTCAGAGAAATGAGCATTACTGTGCAGGAGCAAACCGGATAGCACACACAAATCATTCACAATTTATTTGACTAAGGGACTAAATACTACTGAAGAAGCTGACTGTAGCTATACTTGATCAACATAAAAAACTTAGTTGGAAAAAGAGCCATTTTAAAAAAGGTCACAATACAAATGAAGACCCTGTTTTCCGATTTTGCATATGAAGGCATAATGGTTTGTAAATTTTGAGTTCTTAAAATCAAAACCACAGAAATGCTGTGCACAGTCATGGCTAGCCTATACTACAGATGGAATAAAGTCCTCCAAAAGCTAGACAGAGGAGCAGGGGAGAACACTCATCACTTTAAATAGTGTTTTGAAACATACTTCTATGCAGGAGGTCTTAGGTAGGAAACTCTAAGGCTTTAGGCACAAGCATCTCCAAAGCAGCAGGGATAAGCAACTTACTGAAACAGCTGAATTCTAAGAGACTTTAAAAAAACAGACAATGATTTGCTAACTGTTGTCTGTGTTGTACTAGAATCCTTCACTGGTATGTTTTAGGAGAGACTGATGCAAGGGACAGTTAGGCATCAAAAAAAGTGCTTGGAAAAAAGCACACTCTCATAAACTATTCAAGCAAGGAAATTCCTAAAACAAACATATTCCTTCAGTTTAATGCAAAATTCTTTGTTTAATCACCCAAATCTAAAGGAAGTGGAAATACTGTTGCTGTTCGTCTAGAGGGGGTCCTGGACAGCCCCCAGCTCAAATTCCACCTTCTCATGTTCCAGAAAGCCTTGTTTAACACTCCCAGCCCTGTCAGAGCAGCCAAGCAGCCAGCGCATGAGTTGGAAGTTCACACATGTTAAGGTAGGGAAGCAGAAGAGCATGCAGGATTCACAACAGTGGTAAATGATTAACGCTCAGGGATAGTCCTCCTTTAGAAAAGAGAGATTATTTATATAAAGGTCACCCATGTAAATTCAGAGTTTTCGTTTTTGTGAAACATGCTGAGGAAGTGACCCATGAATAGTGAAGGTTCCAATCCTCAACAGTTTGTTACATTATTTTCCCATTTCTCTAATTTAAGCGATTAAGTGAAAGCTACACCCACTAGCAAACAAAGAAAAAAAAATCCCCTACAATGAGGAAAAAAAAATTATTAAAGCTTTGTCTCCTGTCCTATCTTAACACAGAAACTTCTTCTCAAGAAAATACTAAAGGTAGGAAGACACTGATTGTGTTTTAGGCTTCCCAGCCTTGCAGCTAATATTCCAGACCATTTTCAGACCATGAAGACCAGTCCAGTTTTTCTGTACTGACAATTTTACAGGAATGGAGCAAACGAAAAAATAAAAACACTAAAATCCTTCCTATCTGGCAAAGTACTTTCTACAATCTGGCACAATTGCTGTTGGCAGCTGCAGCATTAACATTTTAAATTAAAGGAAACATTGACATTAGGAAGGGATCTAAGCTGCAAGGTAGCCAATACAGGGTTCTGCCAAGCAGAGTACATAAACTCATGAGGTCAGGACCTTACTTCTAAACCCCTTCAATCTAACCATCTACAAAATCCCCAGTCCAAAAGATTCTGGTGTTCTCAATAATCCTTGGCAAACTCTCTCTAAAAGAAGACTATTTTTCTGACAGAAAGTAAAGATAATTCATGCAGAAACAGGCCAACTGAAGACAGTAGCAGTTGAAAAGACATCTTGTTAGCAGCATGGAGACAGCAAGATTTGAAGGTGCAGTAGCCAAGTCCCAGCCCCCGCAATAAATACATATGCTCTGGCAATTATATTAACTTAACCCCTCTTCCCATCTAGGAAACCAGAATGTAGCTCAATTGCTGACTCAGCTCCAAACTGCTGCCTTCCTCCTACAGCTGGATTTGCCCTTCATTACAGGCAGTACTGTTCCAGCGAACACATTAAAACCTCTTTGCCAGAAGACAACTGCCTTCAATAATAATGATACATCTCTAAGAAACATAACACATATGTAGTACAAGCATTACACTCTTGATTAAAATGCATCAATTGCCAAGAAGCTTGTTTTCTTCATGGCAAACGGTTTTGCGTTATATGCAGGTACATTTTAGATTCGCTCCCACTCTTCAATAGAAAGGCTACAAACTGCAGCAACTGTAGGCTTAGATTCCTTGACAATGTTAGGACAGACAGACTCAAGTTCTTAATCCTAAAACAGGTGTACCAAGACCAAAACTGAAACAGACTGGCTACAGAGGCCTCTCTGCTTCTGAACAAAAGCAGCAGGATTTCAATAAGCAACAGAAGCCTTGCAAATACTATCAAGAATGCCAGCACGAACCAGATATCCAAGAAGAGCTGTTTGGAGCAGGAGTCAAACATTTCCACCAAAGGAAATACCGTTTCTAGCACGCATTTCGCAATTACATCAAAAGAATAAAAATAAAACCACATTGAGAATGCTGAAGAATAAAGAAACCAACACCTTTCACCCACCACCATGGAACGAATCAAGCGATCAACAGGATCTCACCATAGACAAGCACAGATTTCAGATACTAGACAAATCAAGGGTAAAAGAAAGAAAAACAGCATTGATCATATGTTCTGACCGAAACTTCAATAAAATGCAACACATAAAGCAGAATTACCATTCCCCTTATAACCCAAAATCCACAGTATTATAGGTCTTTAATCAATAAGATCTACAAAATTAAAGTACATTTATCATTGCACTGTTGGAAAAAAAGATATCATCCACTTTTAAAAGATCCTGAAGGAAAGTAGTTTCATATGCCAGACAATGAGAGAAGAATCTTTTCTTCTCTTGAGGGCTGAAACTGCTTAGGATAAGAGCTTTTTTGTCACTCCATTCCATCGCTGCTGCTCCTGGAGAGTCTTGCAGAAATGAGAATTACCCTTCTAGGATAAGCCATACTGCCTCTGAATGCACAAGAAGCTGAAAAAGTTAAGACAACGTGTGCACAAGTACTAGGTTGATATATGCCAGTTTTGGTTTTGAAATAGCTTGGCAATATAGAATTACTTTATGAAAAGGTAAATTATATGGTATATTTATCTTCAAACAAATCATCCAATCCACGAAACAAATACTCTGATTACACGAAATCAAAGCTCTTATCTTCAGCTTGTGTCATTTTCCTCAAGCTCCCATTGTCCCCAAGATAATGAAAAAAATCAGCTTGCTCATTTCAAAAGGTTCAAGAGATTCACCAGGATACTGGTTTACAAGGTTCTGCATTTTGTTAAGGATCAAGATAAGTCCTTGGGCCCCATTATACTAAGCAAAGGGCTACAAGGAGTATTTTGGCTAATCAGAAGGACGCAGCTCTCTCCAAGACTTGAAAATGATTGCTGTTCCTGATTTAATCATTTCTTCAGCCCCTGAAGAAATTTTCTTTTGGTTGGCAGTGACTAAACCTGTTGTCCTCACCTCCCCACACTACATTCACAGCAACAAATCAGCTGCATCATCATAAACTTGACTGTCAACTTAGGCTGAAGATACCAGGAAGGCAGCTTATTTAAGTGCACATAAAGAAACAGTCACATGAATCATGCATAAGTAAGCAAAATTCTTTTCCCAGCAAAGCAGAACATACCACTTCTTGTCTTGCTGGCTGGCTCCCGGGCTCCTTGGGAGGTTTTCTATTTCCACTAAGACTGGGGCAGAAGGAACCGCTGTTAGGACAGGTAGGTTTGGCTTTGCATTCCAGCTCTTCAGAGACAAAATACAAACAAATAAGTTACTATACACACATTAATGAAGTGATGAGACATACACAACAAAACACAACACCTCTTCTCCTTAAGCACAAAGCTAAAACACGGCTGTTGTCTTCCATTACTTCCACAGCACTGGATACCTATGCCCAGTCTTTTCCAGCACTGCACACATTCCTGGGGTCATAAGGAATCCAAGGCTGCTCAAGGATTTCAGTAAAAAGCTATGGCCTGCTGTGTCCTTTTTAAATTCGTGCTGTAATGCTTTCCTTCTGTAGGTAACTTTGCAATAACAATTGGCACCTTTAGGTTTCCGGCCTTTGGACCGCCATTTGAAACATAACTGCTCCTGAAAAGAAAAAAATCTCCTTTTGCACAGAAGGCAAAAGGCTGGGCAGACCAGCAACCTATCTATCAGCAGAAATTGAGTATTTTAATGTTGAAACAAACCAGATTCCTGTTTCCACCAATATGTGACCGTTTCTGTTGCACCCTGCATCTGAAATACTCCAGAAAGTGAGACAGGGTCTTCCCAAACTCCAAGTCCTGGTTTTTTGGTACTCAGAAGCAGAGTTACCTTACACTAACATCCCTTTTCAGTGAAACAAGGTAGTCTGTGTACAAGTACTGAGGGGACAGGTGTCTCTGATTTCCTTCTCAAATTCAGAAAACACTGAATTTTTGCTAACAATATATTCTTTAATTTGCAGGCGCATTCTTTCAGAGAAAAAAACACTGTATCCAGGAACGAACACAGGTGCTGATAAATTACACCCTTTCTTTTTTTAATGTTACTTATCATATAGAATTAATGCGCTTTGAATAATAACAACTCTCACACAAAGGTACTTTGTGTACCTATGAAAATCTGAATCTATAAATAGCATAATCTATATAGCACTGGGGCAAGGGGTACCTTCCTTACTCCTGCTAAATTAACCAATTATCTTGCTTGCAAATTAGTATTCATTTCTTGGCATGCAATTTAGTAGTTAGACATTCCTAACTTTTAATTGATCAGTCACTGGATTTTAAGAATGAACAACAAAATCCTCAAACCTGTTGAAATACATGAAAACTGCCTTTAAAAAGAATGAGAGAATCCTTACTTGTGATCCATTAGTTTGGTTAATTACAGCATTGTTTGTCATACTGAAAGACAAAAAAGAATTTACATCAGAATCAGATCAACAAATTATTTTTGCAGCCTGTCGGAACTGCAAGAATTTTCAGAAACAAAGTCTAACAAAGATCTTTCCAAAGTACTTAACTGTTCTCAAAAGGAAACTTAAAACCTTATAGCTTAGGTCAGCTGCCTCATTCTAGATAATTATCACTTTATTTTTGATTTGTTCAAGCTGTAGTTTACCTGTAATTCATCTCGTTTTTCCTCTTCCTTTCCTAAACCAGTTTGGTTTAGAAAGTCTGCCTGATTCATCAGTAAGGTGGGGCAATTTTGAAGCAAAAACGATGTTATTTTAGTTAAGCACCCAGCAAAATGTTACATTGTCAAAGCCCCACCTACACGCTGTAGATATTACATTTGTTCCATAACTAGGACTCTTCTGATTTGAAGTTTCACATCACAAAGCTCATCAGAAAAATTCATGAGTTTCTTCTGCGTACAGCCTCTAATGGACTGAATTACTGCTTCAGTCTTAAAAGCAGCCATTCAAAATTACGTGCACAGCAGCTCAGCACAGCATTAATAATACTTTTATATTA